CACAACTAACCCAGCCATGACAACTACTGTATCACTCTTATCTGCCTTCAAAATCAGTAGATCATTTCCGGGAAGCTTTCGTCCTTCGTATAACAGACATCACTAAAGCAGAGCATCCTTTTTGCAACCATATTCAAATACTAGAGCCAAAAATATTCACCATTTTCATCTGAATCGATTTATATTGCCTAGGGAACAGGGTCAGCAAGGATGATCCAGCAGAGCCAACCTACAGCTGCCCAATAGGAATTGGCCGTCGTCCTTCTGGTACGAGCAACATTATACACATAGCACTATAGTATATAGCTGAGAATATCAATACGGTGTCACCTTTTGTTTGGTTTCAGTACTTTTTGGCTGTATAGTATTGGTTTGACCTTGTTTTCGCAACTTGGTCGGAGCAATAGGGAGCCAGTGTGGAATATACCCAGTCCTGTGTCCTCTGCCATAGTATCCATGCTGCGTTTCAACATCGGACCGTTGACTTGGTACATTCTCATACCTTTGGCCGGCATCGACAGTGAGAGGCGCCATCTTTAGCTCGGAGTTACAATTAATCATCTTCAAGAAGCTGATCTGATCGTCAATAGTCATATTAGTTAATAATGTTAGTGATGTGCTGAGTGGCACAAAGGGATGTGCTCACCTGTACCACTATCGATCATCCTAAGGCAGCGCTTACCTACAGCTGGACACCAAGCAACGACAGCAGTGCCTGCTTTGCTACCAAGACGGGAGGTTTATACAACTTTCTAGCCTTCGTGTCATAGTACTGACTGCCCCGGCAAATGACGTGGTTACGATTCACCAGCGAGAGCCTATTGCCTTAGCCTCCCGGGACTTTGTTGCCCGGCAATGCACTTTGCCATTTCAAGGTACTTTCACTACTCTCAGTTTCATTTGAAACCGTGTCCTGCATATTAAAGAGCAAAAGCAATAGCCAGTAGACCGCATTTTTCAAGCCGTATTAACGTTTAGAAATGCCAGATAATAATCTATTTGTTCTTATTGTCAAGCCTGAAAGCAGTAGACTTTTCTGATAGCGGAAGCTATTGGTAGTTTGGACCGAGTCAGTACTCTTATTGTAGAATCCCAACCTGGTTGGACTTGTCTTTGCTATGTGCAAAGATGTGTCGCACAGCCTTCGGAGGTACATTGGCAGAGTTTACTTACTTTTTAGGCTCGTTTCGCAGCCACCAGAAGTCTGATTGTTGTCGAGAGGTGAACCAGATTCGAACAGGTTTTACAATCACGCCGATATCGTCTCTACCCTCGATGATTTTTGCGTTGACTTTCATCTCGCCATGCATACTTAAAGGCTATTCTCAACTACAGGCTGAACTGCGCCCTTGACTTTGTCTCATCGGCCCATCAATTCCCAAAACGGGATTCGAACCCTCAACTTACACATACACTTCGTCCTCCAAGCCACACGGCAGACAGGATTTGTATGACAAAGTAGACCTCTGTGTGTGTGTGTGTCAGAATTTATTCTCTTTGTCTCTGGTTCGGATGTCCTCGATTAGAATCCCGCTAAGGGGGCCGGTGAGGTGAAGAGACGAGGTTAAACTTTAGTCCAGACAGAAGAGAACAGTCGCTTTCGGATATTTGGCTAAGGGAAATTCAGTGCATTTCAACCAAATCGAAACCAGTATGCCTCTGTACTCCGTTCGCTTGAAGATCTCCCTAATTTCTGTATTAGGAGGCTTTTTGTTCAGAAGGCTACTTGTTGTGCGGACCAATTGGGCTGTGGACGAGAATACTTTTTTGACGCGGAACAGGATAGAATCTATTCTGGGCATAGAGAAACCAAATGGCCGGCCTGAGAAAACGCCTTTATTTAACTTTAGAATATTACTGCTATACTGCGTCTAGCGCTGATAAGTGTGGAGGGTAAACTTAATTGCAAGACTCGCCTGCTCAGCCTATCATTCTTGGTGGAATGGCCGGAATGTTGCTCTTCACCAAACCAGACTTGTTACTTGTCTCCTGCTATGATTCATTGCCGTAGTGATACTTCTGAATGTATATGACACATTAAAGAGAATAGCAGGATTATTGTTACTTTGTCTTTTTCTGCCGTATTTTCCCTTCATACTGTTTTTTGTTGGAGCTCTGGTCGGTCATATCGGCATAATTTCCGTTTCACTATTTCTTTAGCCGAAATATGACAAGATAAACGCTAGAATTTGTGGTTATTTCTCTCTGTTATGACTGATCGTAAAAACACACTTGCATTTTTCTCTCGCGGAAAGTGAGACCTTTCATCAGATGCGTTCATACTTAAGCTATGTTTTTCTGGTCCGGTATAGAGTCAACTCAGTTCAGAAAGCTGGTCCTCTACATATTCTCGTTGAAATAACGGAGACTAGAGAAGAAGTGAATCAGATTTGTACCAGTTATGCACCTCTTATATAAACCATTTTTGGTTCTATAAAAATGATGCAAATTTTTTTGGTGATAGATAAAGCCTTCGTATAATGTTGTACAAAACTAACATTTTCCATTCTAGACTACAAGTAAATATGAAATATTTCCCCATTTCGCATGGGTCAACTCTTCGGGTTCTCCCGAATACGATTCTACATCCAACCTCTATTTCACATTTGGCAGCTATCCGTCCATATGAGCACATGCATGTAATCATGTCCTATTCTTGAGTAGGTTTGGATCTGCCTAAAAGTCCGTTTGTACACATACATCACATACACCCTTTTCTTGCGCCAACCCTACGTCAGCATATTTCGCCTCGGAGACAGAGTTCTCATGGCCATCGGCCAAGAAGCATCGGTCTTGAAGGGACCCCAATCTATTCTGAACTCGATCCTCCAGAGCAGGAGACGATTGTAGTTGCAAACATGAAGGTCGGCACTCTCGAAAAGGTCGGGTTGCCAGGCTCAATACTGGAAGAAGCAGGAAACGGCCAAAGCTCCAGTGTCAAGGTAAGTGCAGCTCTGATGACTGCCTCTGCCTTACGTGAATACATGCAAAGTGATGTTAGTTGCACTGATCATCCTCCTTCAAAAGCTGTATTCATCCTAGGTCACATAAAGTGATGAAGGACTGATGGCTAAATATTCCACAAATATATGAGTAGATCTCGCGATGCCATTCAATTTCATTCAGACTTGCCTCCAAAAAGGCAGGCTCATCCAAAGTGAACTGCTGGTTTGACCTCGTCCGAGTCTCATCAGCTCCCCTAGCCAGTCCTACATTGTAAACACATTACCACTACACCACATTGCCATTGGTACCAGTGGGTCGCGGAGATGAAGGAAAACTAAAAGTGAGCCGGACCTCTTCAACATCAAATTTTGTAGTGGGATTTTCGTTGAAACAAATTGGTATTTGGTATTGCAATCAACTACACTACTTATATTATCATTGAGTGGGTCTCGAAACAACCAGAAGATATTCAATAAGAGTTATGATGGTAGTTTTTAAGACTACTCAATCTGATTTTAATTAATGCTGCTGATTGTAATAACAAGCAAAAGCATTCTTCGCAAACAGTCCAACTACAAGACTTTATAGAAGTTGTTTGACCTTATTTTCGCAACTTGGTCATATTGGTAGGAAGGCCTAGAGGAACGCACCTAGTCCGGAGTTCATTGTAT